TATAGTAATAATAAAATCCTTTAATTCTGTTTTTTTCTTCTCCAGATTCTTGCACAGCGGTGGCCATTTGATCAGTCTCCACTTGGAGCAGGTCTTTGCAAGGTCTTTCCATTCATTCAGAAGGCTTCAGTTGGAATCACAGTGCTTAATCTGTGTGCTCTTAGTGTAGACAGGTAAGCTGACAATATTACTTTTCATCTTGACCCTCACTGACATGTTCCCCTTATAGGGAGTTTTTAACCTCTGCCCTGCAGTACTCACATTCAAACCAAAATTCACCTCCACACTAACTCTTGTTCTCCTGTCCTCAGTTCTCCGGGATGAATGGCACCCTGCGTCACTCAATCCGAAAAACTGAGGCAAGACTGTGAGTGCAGAGCTTCATGGCCCGCACCCTGATCATGGCATCCTATATGCCTACAGCGTATTAATGCAGAGAATGGTGGTGCTTGTGTTCCTTTTCTGTTCCTGAGCTCCTTGTACCTTGTGTCTACAGCAGGGGTCTTAAACTCCATTCCCTCGGGGGCCACTTGACACATTTTTCTCTCCCATGGGGGCCGCTTGCCAAATTTCATACTTTAAAATAAAATTTAGCTTTATCCGGTTTGGTACTACAGACACTAATACACACACACAATAAGGCCCCATTCATATCTGTAAATTTAGGTGCAATTGGGGATTCCTGCCTCAGGAACTTGCATTTTCCTGCAGCAGGTATTACTAATCTGGCTTTTACAAGCGGCAGCTGTTACCCATTCAAGTTAATAATCAGGTGACACCACTTGCATTTAAACGCCTGCACACCTCATGTAATGATATGTGATATTATTACATGCGGTTAGAAAAAACTCTCCCTGGATGCACAATCATTGCGTCCAGGGAGAGTGATTGATTCCTAACCAAATGTAATCATATCGCATACCATTACATGCAGTGTGCCGGTGTTTACATGCAACCACTGTCACCTGATCATTAACTTGAATAGGTGACAGCTGCCGCTTGTAAACACCAGATACATATAAAAAAATACGCCACCCTCCCACACACACATAAAAAAAAACTACCCCTGTACATATAAAATAATACACCCCCCGATACACATGAAAAGCTTGCGCTTCAGGAGGTGCTTCTTCATTTTGTGCGTGACAAACAAAACATTTTGGCATCTGGAAGGATCTATTCTGTTGATGATCAGGAGCTTTGGAGGTGTTATGGTACTTGAAGGATCTATACATCCTATAACAATTTTTACCAATCACGAAAATTTTCAATACATAAAATCGCCCACGGGTTAAACCCCAGGCAAGCCCAATGAGCCCTATGCTTCTCAAGATTCAACTTCACCATCACCTCCAAACCTGGCTCTGATAGCTCATGGGTTGATGCCTTTTCCCTTTTTTTGATGTCTCTAAATTATTATATGGGAAAAAACTCCATAGTCATACATGCTTTTTGCATTCTCACCACTACCCCATTCATAATCCAAAGTTCATTCTGGCTGCTCTTTTGTACCTCCTAGTCTCCGGGAAAGAGTACTCCATTTGGCCACTGACTCTAGATTTTTTTGGGCTTCCAGGCACTCACTGCTCCTGGCACAATCCTATTGGTGGCCCAGCATCCAACATGACATACAGGATTTCCCCCGTGCATGTCCTGTGTGCACTCAAGCCTCCAACTTGGCTCCCCCCGGTCTTCTCCAGCCTCAACCCGTTCCAGCCAAGCCCTCAAACAAATTTCTATGGACTTCATAATGGATTACCCATCTTCCAGAAGTTACACCATAATCAGGGTGATTTTAAACCAATTTTTGAAAAGGGTGAATCGTGTTTTCCCAGTGTCTCAGCCTTATGCATTAGCACCTGTTCCTGTCTTTATCAAGGAGATTATCAGGGGCATTGCTTGGATGTCAGCCAGAGGGGACATGTCTTCTAGGAGCTACTACTATCCTGATTTAATTATCTGCTCATCTACCTATGATCCTTTGCTGTACCCCGCTTGAATAACTGTGATCTACACTCTGCTAGGACCGGTGTGCCTTTCATGCCATTAACTGCATATGGAGATCGGTTAGGGGGTGGGAGGAGTTAGCCATAGGCTGATTATTGTTCTAAACATAAGAATATTTTGATTTAAAATTTAGAAAATCTGTTCACTAAGAGAATTTCTATGTTCATAGTCTGCCCACTCACATTATGTCAGATAGGGGGGGGTCTAAATGATCCCTAGGTCTTGGAAGGCTGTGTGAAGAGCCGTTGGCATCAGTCTGAACTTTTTGTCTTCATGCCATCCTTAGTTGAATAGCCAGAACATGAGGACCATCCTGTCCTTGTAGCAATTCCTGTGTGCTTTTTTCAATTCTCACCATGACAACTGGGTTCCACCACTCCCTTGGGCAGAATGAGTCCTTTCTTCATTTTTTTTTGGAAGCATCCTTCAGTGCCTCCCCCATTTCCAACCACTGTCTGTCACTCAGGTTCTCCACTCTCTAAGCTCCATTTAGTCTCAGGTCTCTGATTCACTGACCCAGGCCACTCAACATCAATTATTTGACTAAAAACTGGAAAGGAATTCAAGTCACACAAAAATTCACTTTATTTGCACAGAAATGTGGAAATCACTATTATCACAAATCACGTTAAATTGTATATTGTAATTTAAACACAGGAATAGCTTATGTTTTATGAGAATTTATGAGAATTAGATTGTATAAATAGCAGTGCAATATATTTGTTATTTGTGCTGTCAGCCACTTAGGTTCTCCACTCTCTAAGCCCCATTTGGTGTCAGGTCTCCAGTTCACTGATCCAAGCCACTCATTGTCAATGATTTGACTAACTACAAACAATCTCTGCTTTAATGTCCCCTGCATCAAGCTCACGTTATCAATCCTTATGAAGTCTGGGCCAGAATCAATCCCGTCACCTAGAGATGATTGCTGTCTCCCCGTCTTTGTGTTCCCAATTCCTTTATGCTTTGCCATTAAAACCTCTGGTACTTAATTCTCCAGGACTGTCCATCTGTCCTACCCTTCTACTGAAAACTTGGAAGAAATTGAGGTCCATACCATTCTGGATTCCAAGAACAACAAATTGTATTATTTTATATATTGAAATGAATTTCTTTGGATAGCTGTAATCTTTAGGCTTGCCCATCGCTGGTCTTTTGGCTTGTAAAACATTGGCTACATTTCCTCTTTCAGTTAGTTACACGTGGCAATCTCAGTTGGCTGTTGACTTCAAAGCAGAACCCCCCCCCCCCACCCCCACCTTGCACAATATTGGCAGAATATTAACAAGGATCTCTTACCGCTGTTTATTGGCTTGCTCAGAACAGAACACTGGGTGATTTCCCCCACAAATTCATGTCAGATGTCTGTTTATTCCAGATGCATCAAGATAACAACATAATGCTTTACTTAACCATCATGTCTTTCTTTATTTCTTCTTCTAAAGAGGATTCATGATGAGTTTTTACAGGGGTTCAGAAGAACAAGTTTTAACTAGAACATTTCCGACCATCTGTTAACACTCACACGACAACTTCCAACATGACTGTCAAGAGCGGATAAACATGTAGAGATTGTTTGGCAGAGAGATGTGCACTATGGCACGGAGCTGAAATAACTGGTGCCAATCTATTGCAGCATTTTGTAAATTTTAATTGTATTACATTTATGATGATCAGCTTTCACATATAATATATCCATAGCTAAAAAAAATTCATATTGACATATTTTAATTAAGTGACAATAAAATATCATTATCAGAGATTTTTCTTTCTCTGGGAACAAGGCTAAATCTTGGAGAAGTTCCATGATAAACCAGATATGCAAAAAAATGAGCAGAATCTGGGAATGTAGCCGCTTCATTTAATTTTAGAGAAATTTTTGCATTGTTAATGCTTTTATTGTATTGAGGACACAGAGTCCACAATCTCTGTTTCTGCAGCCCCTGTTATAAATGAACAGAAAGCCTCTATACTGAGTGTTCCTGTTCATTCATACATTGTATAAGTTACTATGTACATAATTAGGAATGAACAGGAAGTGATGTAGATCGCTTCCTTTCCGTAACTGGTAGATAGTAACTCGTACTATGTCCAGTTATTTACAAACAGTAAGCGATCACTGATCACTGATCACTGACTAGTTGGAATCGCTCTCCATCCTGACTCACTGTCACAGGAGGGAGAGCTGGCGATGCAGGGAGGAGAGCTCAGTCTTTTTTGACAGCTGACTCCTCCCCCTCACCACCAGTTCGGTCTCCTATGACAAGGGCGCGGCAGGAGAGCTCAACCTCCTGTGACATCCTCACAGCGCTCTCCTTCCCTGCATTTTGTCAAAAGTGTTATTTTCCGCCGATATGTTTCGGCGGCCGATATTTTGGTGCATCCTTAGTCTTGGCCGCTATGGTATCCCAAAGCTTAATTTTCTACAGTTAGGCCACTTTTAGATGGAGAGTCCCATCAGGTCCATCTGTCAGTTTTTCAGATGGATCTGATCGGAAGCCCAATGTTAATCTATAGGCAGCCCCATCTATATTACCCTCGACAATGTCCAGGTCCGGAAAACAGAACAGAGTTTCGTTTTGGTGAACCTGATCGTGATAGATTTTAATGTAATATGATGTAAATAGATATGTCCGCTTAAATCCGACTCCTCATAGACCTTAAGTTTTTTTCCTCCATAGTAAGATGGAGAAAAAAAGGGAACAGACACGGATGTCACAACGGTAAAATCATTCCGTACTGCTGCGATCAGCAAGGGATCCATACACAGGTTTCCTGCTGACCGGAACTGACATCGCCCGTGTGAAAGGGGCCTTAGAGTTCATTCACATAGCAAAACACACATTATAAAATGCATCATAACAGTTTAAAACACACTGAATTTGTGTTGTGTTGCCATTTATTGTTAATTGCACCATAAGTGTGCTATGGTATAGCTAGCATTAGATGGTTACATTTGACTGAACTTGTTGAAGGCTTCACCACTCATCGAAGTTGGAACCGAGGAAGCCAATTTGATAAGAGGCAAAGCAACTTTAGCATTACAAACGTCCAGACAAATGTGACTGAAGCCAGGTTCACACCATTTTTCGGACAGATCTGAACCAGATCTGGAACGCAGAGCAATGCTTTTTGCCGTGTTTGTACCACAATTTTACCATGTTGC